TCCAGATGAACAGAATCAACTTTTGGAGATTTATTTTCCTGGATGATTGAGAATGCATCAAGAAGTATGAAATAGTGTTTGGGTGGCAGGACTGTGCTGTAGTCTTTCCTTGAAAGTGGTGTTATAGCAGGAAAAGTCACATGTGACTTCCTGTAGACTTTGATGTGAGAAATAATCTCCTTAAACTCGTGAAGCCTTTGTACTGATGAAGACCGTGTCTGCTGTGTTGTTCTATCATGAAAACAACTGAATGTCCATCATAGAGAATATCAGACTCTGGCATGAAGCAGTTATGAGGATCTCTGCTGGCCCCTTTCACTCACAGAGGAAACTCAGCAATGGAAATGTAACCGTCTGGGTCTGCGAAGCTGCGATGTAATACTTCGTCACATGAGTGCAAAGTATAATTTAGAGATTTAACCACAATCACTGCTGGGATTTTATAGCTGCTGTTCAACAATAAAAGCATGGATCACATTACCACTTCTTCATTAAATCAGTGATGACACCAGTGTATTCTCTCTTCACTCTTTAAAACCTTTAAGCACTTTTAGCTCATTGTTTTCTTCAGAAAGTGCATTCTTGGTAAAAATTCAAAGGAGCATATCAACACGTGGGATCTGTGGCTGCTCAGCACGAGTTATTGTGCTGCTTTAATAATATTGCTTTAAAATTGTGGAGCAATGTTAGTGTTCATGGCCTTCATAATGTTTGGACACATCCGAATTTTAGGCCCTAAAAACATTTTTCAAAGTCCTTGAAGGGCCTGGATCACCACTTATTGTTGCACTGCACTATTTCTAATGTCCAGGAGGGGACGACTCCTCTGGTTGCAAGAAAAATTTGTTGTCAGTATGCACCCCTCATATCCCCAGAGCATAGTAAACTCTTTCTTGCTGCGTTTATGGTCTCAGTCACAGGTTCCAAACCTTACTGAATAAAACATGGTGTTGATTTTGTGAAATTATGGCCCCATTAGAGCTAAAAATGCACATAAAGCAGGGATTGGCCTAACTTAAGACTGACACTGCATTTTTTACAGTTTCACTGTTGGACAGACTCCAGGGTTTTGACACCTGGTTTTAAAAAGCCAAGAAGGCAACAGGGAAAACTCTCTGTTCCAAAAACATCAATGCTGTATCATTATATGTCAATAAAAAAAAAAGAAGTGCAGTGAGACACCATGAGGAGTTGCTCTTTTATATACACCGCCTGTGAGTGAACAGCAATCGGTGAGTTTTTTGTGTAAGTCACAGCATCTTAAAGAAGGATAAAGCCACTGTTTTCCCCCTGCAGCAGTCTCACCATGTATCTGGAGAACAAAACCAGCCTGGAGATTGAAATGTCTCAGACGGGATCCCAAGGCCACCAGGGCAGGAGCAGCCTCAGGTCACCGAAGGCGGTGGCAGGGAACTTCGGGGAACTATGTCTGCTGGAGGGCATCTCGGAGAGGCTAGACACCCAGAAGCTGCAGCAGTCTGCAGGACAATGCGTCATCCACACTGAGGGCTTCGTCCCCATTCGACAAGAGGACGGGTAACTACTGTGTTCTCAATCTCATGCATCATTCATGAATTACATCCACCATTGGAGGGGAAAGATACTGTAGGGCAGGGATGGGCAACTCCAGGCATCAAGGGCCGGTGTCTTGCAGGTTTTAGAGCTCACCCTGGGTCAATACACCTGAATCAAATGATCAGTTCATTACCAGGCAGCTGGAGAACTTCAAGACATGTTGAGGAGGTAATTTAGCCATTTAAATCAGCTGTGTTGGATCAGGGACACATCTAAAACCTGCAGGAC